GTGTTCCAATAGCAGCAGCTGTTTGAGGAAAAGGGAAGTGTGCGTGTGTGTATATATATATACATATATAGTTCCCTAAATAACTAAGTCTATTGTTCAGGCAGACTTTGCTGTACCTCTGATTGAAGAGGAAATGCAAAACTGCATTCATATGTAAAATTGCAATCAATCTAATTGGATCCGAAATGTTGACTCACTTTGCTTTCTCCATAGATGCTGCCTGACCTGCAGAGAGTTCCCAGCGACTTGCTTTTGTTTCAGATTCCAGCATCTGCAGTATTTTGCGTTTTGCAAGGATTATTATTATTATATCAAATGTCAAGGTGAAAAGTGGTTTTATTTCCGAGTTTTCAAAAAATACAGATTTTGGAAACTAGTCCAGAAAACTCCAAGGTGATTTTTCTTTTTATGTTTGAAATAGAACATTCTGGAGGAAATTAGGGTAATTTTTCATTTGAAAAAAAGTTGAATTGTCTTCAAAAATGAACAAGTTATTTTGGGAAAGATTTTTTTTAGACTAATGCAAAGTTTACGTGTTGTGAGGACAAATTCGCACCTTTCAAACAGATGCACACTCGTACTATACCAATAATAATAACCCTTGCATTTGATATGGTCTTATCACGTCTCCGAGACGTCTCAAAGCATATCGCGGAATATACTGTAAAGTGAATTGACTGTATACTTTATAGGCGAAATGCGGCAGCCAATTGAGCAGAGCAGTGTTCCACAAACAGTCGTGCATTGAATGACCAAATTATTATTATTTTTTTGGAAGGGATTATTACTCTCGGAAAAGGGATCCCTCAATCGGCTAACAACCGGGTTGCTACTCACCATTAGGTAAGCATTGAGGCATTTAAACATACACATTTAAAGAGACAGTATTAACATAACCACCCTTATCCATGTAAACTGCCTCTCCAAGACCCACCTATGCCCCAGGCTGACTGGTATGTCATCAGTTGTCTCTTGGGAGTATTACAGACCCACCGGGAACTGGACTCGGACGGCCAATTCAATTCCGACATTCTGTTAAGATACATAATCTTGGAACCAACTCAGCCCTCTCCCAGATTCATGCCTTTCACTACCATACGTGTCTTATATATTATACATTTTAAACAATCTAAGTGGACACTTCGTACACATTCCATACTGGATGGATTAGACAAAAAAGGTAGAAGAATCAAAGCAACTATGATGGATTGTTCTATACCTATTAACTATATCCCATGTGTAAAGTTTCCAGACGAATTATGCAGCTTGGTGCAAGGGAGGAAGCTGGAACCCACTAAAGCAGCATGTTCCACTTATGGTATAGAATATGACTGACATCCTGTAATGTAATTACAATTCCAAAATAGTCATATTTCATCAACTGCCACTGTACAAACGGCAAGAATCTGGATAATGAAAAAGTCACTTAGAATTTTTAAAAATAATAAGCAAAAAGCAGTCATAATTAATGATGCAGAGAGCCACAAATATTATTTTTAACAAAACAGAATTAAGGATACTAATCTCCATTGCAAAATATGAGTACTTTGAAATGAATGTGATTTCAAATGTCTGTTTGTTAACAGTGAAATAACAAACTACCATATTGAGAAATGTTGCATTAACGGACATTAATACATCAAATTTATAACTTAAAGATGGTGACCAAAAGAGAAGACAAATATATGATGCCACAGTTCAACAAAGCCTATAACCTGGCATTAAATAAATTCTTTCAGAGATGTCCACAGTCACGTCCCATGTAAAGGGCAACAGTCTCTGATTAAAAATTCACCATTGAGCTAAATTATAGTGAGATTCACTCCACATAGCTCATGCTGTACGTAATCTGCGCTCAATTTCAACACGATTCAAAAAGTTATGACATTTTCCATTCCCTATTCCTAAATACAGAGATCCTAGTTTGAGAAAGACAAAATAGATAAAGACATTTGACCAATGTCTCTCCACTTACCCTCTGGTCAAAATATCCTGGGTAGCTCCAGTCAGTTGAGTACCAGACTTGCAATCAGCACAAGGACATTGGAAGTATATAAATGCAATGATTATTATTTCCCTGTAATTACGGTCTCATTTAATCCCTGCGTACTACAAATTAAGACTTGCTCTGTTTTGCTCAGACCATTGGATAATATACATTAGAAACTTTCAGAAAGCTTTTTAGTAATCTTGGAAAAAAAGCATATGAAAACTGGCAGTCAGTGGAAAATGTGGATGGAGCACAGACTCTCTTCTAAAATTACACTTCTTAAAAGCATATATTTACATAAGTTGTGTGGCATTACTGCATTACAAAGCTAGAGTCTCACTTTTTGGTTGTTTTTAGGAAAATAGCTTCCTTGGTTTTTCTCTGGTCACAGCACATGTGCAGCAGTCCCTGGGCTTTTCCGATGACATGCAGCCAACTGCTGCAAGATGAACAACTGATCAAATAAGGACATTTGCTGATTGTTCATGCCCTCTTCGGGAAACACCTTCTAACAGCGATGTAGCTGAGACCAGGATTGTTGTGGTAGCACAGTTTATTTCACAAATAAAACAGGTGAAACACCTCAGCAGCTTGATGACATTAACACAATTAGGTCAGGAAGATTTATGGCTTCATGACAGTTATGCCTCCAATTGTACGGTTGTTCAATGAAGCATGAATGGTGTTTTTTAAAGAGCATTTTATCCTCAAATGAAGGGCACAGGTCCTTTACTTGTCATCCATTAATTTAATTCCTTTATGAGTCCCACATTTCTGCTGCTGAAAGGACAGGTAGACTTGTATGACTTAATGTCAAAAATGGTACAGCACAATATTCTTCCTCATGCAACAGATCACTGATTAGTCGCATAGTACATACGCCACAATGTAGGATATCAGACAAAATCCAAGGTACTGGGCTACTTTAGTCAAAGTAATCAATCTCAACCAAAAGTGGGCAACATAGGTTAATGGTGTGACCCAAAATAAACCTAACATAAGAATTCTGAACAAGGCCTTGTAGTGATATTTTCTCTCTATATTAATATATTAAATAGATTAAACTTTGAAATCAATAAGAAGGTAAGATGTTACCAAAATCAGACATAATCGTTATGAGATGAAACAAACTGGGATACGAGACCTAAGACCATCTTTTCTTTGACCCACTTTTGAGTTTCTAAACTACTGGGCAAAAGTACTTCAAGCAAAATGAATGTTATTACGATGGCAAAGTACGACTTTCTATAAGTTAACTCAAGGCAACAAAGACAATTTGTCAGTTTTGTGACCATAAATAATAATAATAATAATCCCTCCAAAGAAACCAAAAACAATAATTAAATTGGTCATTTTCAATCTACGACTGTTTGTGGGACATTGCTGTGCGCAATTGGCTGCCGCGTTCGCCCACAAATATACAGTCAATTCACTTTAGTGTGTTCTGTGAAGCGCTTTGGGACGTCCTCCCGATGTGAAAAGCGCTATATCAAATGCGAGGATTATTATTATTATTATTATAAAGGGCTGTCTGAAAACATGAACTGTGTCAGAGACTAATACAGATCTGGAACTTTCAGCTAACCATCCAGATCAAACTGGTCCTGGATATGATTCATCGCTCTTCACCCACAAAACCTGCTTTTCCCCATGAAAGTAACAGACAGCGAAGGTTTATGGGTGTGTTATTGACTTGAGGAAATTTTTGGACAATCTGCCAATGATATTGTAATAAGGAATTTCAGTTTACACTTACAATAATGAGACATATACATTTCCATGTCTCTTTTGTAGCCAGTGGTTTAATAGCGCATTTGCATAACTTCTTCAGGAAACAAATCTAACCACCTTGTTCAGATTGCCAGGAGGCTTGAACAGCATCTGCTTCCACTTTAAAGTACCCCTGAACCCAAAGTATGTTCATGTGCCTTTGTTTAACATGCCACTGCTCATGCCTTAGCTGATGGTGGTGATCCGAGCATTTACATTGTAGTACTGGATGAGCAGTAGCTTCAAATCACTTGATTGTCTGGTTAATGTTACCGCCAACGATACAACTGTGACAACACAACAGCTAACAATGTGAAAAGGATTAGTGAATAATCAGTAACAATTATTTCCAAAATTCAGACCATTGCTGTTAACATTTCTCATCTACTTGGTTACCCTGGAAACTAGATGGCGTTGAGGAAGGCTTTTAACATTCTCATTATGTTCAAAGGGAACATTTCCCAGTGCAACAGTCATTAATAATATAACCCTTCCATTTGAAACAATGCCTTATAGTGTTTAGACGTCTCAAAGCACTTCACAAAATATATGTAGAGTGAATTGACTATATTTTATGGACGAAACACCGCAGCCAATACGCACAGCAGTTTCCCAGTCGTAGATTGAGTGACCAAATTATTATAATTTACTATTATTTTTTGGAGGGATTATTATCCCCGGAAGATAATCCATCAATCGACTAACAACTCTTCATAAGGACAAATTCTTCCCATGCAGGAGTTAAATGCAGCAAAAACAGAAGTAGAACAATTTATTCAGATCAAGGTGATCTAAATTGGTCTGCATTCCCCAGAGTATGTGAAATTGCAGTCTCGGGGTTTCAGTTTTGTAAAGATATTTTAGACATTCCTACAATATACTGCATAAGTTGCCCAAGTCAACTTTCTTTTAAAAGGGAAATTAAAACTGTGAATGCACTGAGTCACGCTCTACACTACCTTTTTCTTTCCATGCCCAAATCCTGATTTCCCATTTTATAAATAACTCAAAATACATTTTGCACCTCGTGCCCAAAATTGGAAACTTGCCCAAAGTTAAGCCCTGCCTGGAAATTATACCCAGGTCCTCTCGCTTGCGAGGCGAGTGCTCTAACCACTAAGCTACAGGACTCCTAGAAGTAAAGCATTTATGCACTTACTGCTTAAGAGCATATGTGCATTGACTCAGAGTTTGGTGCCAATGCTTGTTGTGCGCCATTATAATAAATAAAATTACCCACCGCTGGAGCGGTTCTTGCGGTTAGATTTTCCACCACTGAGGAGCATCTTCAGGCTGTTCCGAAACATATCTTAATCCGTAGAGCTCGGCAGCACCTACACCAAATCCTGTCAAAAGAATGATGAAGGTTAGCAAGGGTACAACTAGAACACTCAAGGCAATAAGAGTGGATTAGAACCAGGAAGATCAGGAACCAGGAAGTAATGTTCGTTGGATTTAGTGTAGCCCAGAATCAGCTTGGTAAAATGTTCTCATGATATCCATTTGAACAGTAAAAACACCCAGCAGAACAAGTAGAGGGATTTTTACACCGTTTTCAAACAAGAACAAATTGCATTTATACAGCACCTTTCACATCGGGAGAACTTTACTAAGTGCTGGATAGTGATGGGTTTGCAATCGAACTGGGGGTTGGAGTCGAGAGGGATGAAGGGCACGGTGGGGTGGAGATGGAAGAATGAGCAAAGGCATGATCAAAGACGAAGGTCTTGAGATGGGCCTTGAAGGAGGCGAGTTGGAGGGGTGAGGCACGAGGCGGAGTGGCTTCAGGATGGAGTTCCAGAGGGTGGGGGCAGAAACGCTTGTGAAGGAAAGTGTTGGGAAATCCGGCAAGCAGGGAGTTAGCATAGTCAAACCTGGACATAATGAAAGTATGGATGAGTGTCTCGGCAGTGAGGGAAGAGTAATGGCAGGGGTGGACAATGTTGCAGAGATGGAGGAAGGCAGAATGGGTCTTGGCACCGATGTCAGGTTTAAAAGACAACTGAGGTTTGAACAAGACACCAACTCTGTGGCTTGGTGAGGTGGACAGTGCATCCATGAATAGTGATGCTGTCAACGCCCAAGGTGAAGAGGCGCTGATGGGAGCCAAGGAGGAGAGCCTCAGTTTTCAAAGTTGGGTTTTGTCCAGTGGCACCATTCCAAGTTGTAGAACACAAAAGAATTTAGTAGTTACAGTTCAATCTCCGATGGTGTTAATCATGGGAGCAATTTGAGGTGATGAATAAGAATCATGCATAGCGCACAACATTAAAGCATATTGGCTTAAATGTGATTCGTTTTACTACAGCGCATTGAATCAATATTCTCAACAAGGTCAGGACTATACTGATGGATACCTGAATGTAGTGCAAATGATGGCATCAAAAGGTTTGCATAGTAGGTAAGATGCTTCAAACAAAATACAGGACAGTGATGCCAAGGGAGGGTTATACAGCGCATTGGGATATGAAAGGCGCTATATAAATATAATTTTGCTGCTGTTGCTCACAAGCAGCTTTCGTACAATCCTATATGCAACATTAGTTTTCATAAGTATTCAGAGTATACAATATCTCAAATAAAATGTAGGTACAATTCAGGTTCATTTAGCAGCAATTCAAACCTCATCATTTTATCTATAAAGCCGTGCACAGAACAGGAAAATCCCAGGTTTAATCCTATATGTTAATCTCTGCGATGGAGTCACTCCAATTGAGTGCAATGCTCTGGGGTAGCAAGGAGGAATGAAACGGTCAAGTTTCTCACTCTAGATGACTATCCAGTGACCTTAAGCAAGTGCTTATTCAAGTCAGACATTGATGAGAAACTACAGTCGAACAGTCACCCAACCTATCTCACTGTCAAGGCTCCCAGTAGAATTCAAACAGCCTTATTCAATTGCATGACTCACTATTTTCAAGGGAGTAACATTAGGCTAGAAAAATGTGAAGAGAAAAATAATACAGTGAATGGAGTAGGAGGAATGTGTAGCTCAGAGAGACCAGCAGGGGTAGCATTTAACAAATCCCTTTAGAAGGGAATTTAATGTGCACGTTTCTCCATCCGCTACGTAACTGCTTCTGAAATAGTTCTTATAATCTATTATGCATGCAGTTATAAATATTAATGACTGTCTATATTATGCATCTCATTTTAGGCTAGACAAAACTCACATGTGTGTTTAATAAGCAACACCAGTAAAGGGGGGAATGTGGCCAAGAAGAATTTCCCTTTTCTGTCATGTTATTGATCTCATTTTCTGGGTGTTTCTCTTTCACTTTTTGTCTTGTTCTTTGTCTGCTTCCAGCGATTCAGTCACTGCGGCACTGCTTGCCTTTCAGATGGCCAGTTAATCAGTACAGAAAATTGCTGGTGTCAGCAAAAAGATCATCACTTTGACAACACCCACTAGGTCAATCAAAGAAGAAACACCAGGGCCAACCCACTTCCCCCTGGACCTCAGTGTCGTAGTCCAAAAAAGGTAATCTTTAAAGAAATTCCATGTCCAACTCAACAGTTCATCAGATAAAGCAGAATTCAGCTCCAGAAAAAGGACTAGTTTCGTACCCCCATCAGAAACCTATGAAACCGGGGGGGGGGGGGGGGGGGGGGGGGAGAGGAGACAATGCTCAGACTTTGTGTTTTGCAGCAGGAGACACTGCATTACTGCACCATGAAATTGAATGAGTTGTAAGTTGACTGGTTTGCTTTGAATTCAATTGACAACTGAATAGAAGGTTGTTATAACTGAACGATGCAGCAGTTTCTCATTCAATATCCTTCCTTGAGCTTTGACAACATTCTAGTCATTAGCATTCATTCTTGGATCCTTTTTGTGGTTGATGCCACGCTTACTGGTCTGCACTCAAATGGACTGCCCAGACAGATGGGTATCATTGAAAAAGATGAGCTATGGAATGGCTGAAAAATCTATTTGATCGACTTTAAAATTACTGCGTTTTGCAGTTTTTAACAAAAGTTCAGACTATGTTTCAAAATATATATGTATTGGCCATGACTGGATCTGAAACCAAACCAACTGCAGAAGCCTGTACCAAGCAAGAGATCCTCAATACAGAAATTCCCTGGTTGATAAAACCACAGGACATCTACTACTTCAATCCTATCACTGGAGATTGTGGAGTCCTGTAGCTCAGTGGTTAGAGCACTCGCCTTGCAAGCGAGACACCTGGGTTCATTTCCCGGCAGGGCGAAACCTTGGGCAAGTTTCCTTACTCCACACAGAGCCTAATAAATATTAATTTTAAAACAGAAATTAAATATTGAATCACTGAAAATTATGTGGTTTCAGGTACACGAGTTTCCCAATATTCTATTATCTCATTCTACATTCCAGAGGCTTCAACAACACAACAGAATTAATGCCAGGCTTGACTGTTAACCTTCAAACTATTAAATAAAAAATACAAATACTTGAAGCACTAATTTTACCTTCATTACATCTCTCGCTAAGGATCTGCAAATATCTGAATATCTATCTGCATACAATAGCGTCATATTATAACCTTGCAGTTGGGGGTGGGCCTTAAAATCTCAACCAGCACAATAAAAAGGCGCGATCGCTGGTCAGGGATTCTGCATTCATTGGTCATTCACGCAGAAAGACAGCCAGCTCCATCAACCCTTCGAAACACAGGCTAATGTGTTCCAAGCACTCTGGGACATACTCCGCTTGACAGGCAATATATGAAATAAAAAGAGAAGTCACTGGGAACACTCAGCAGGTCAGGCAGCATCTAGGGAGAAAGGAATGGGAGTCAACGTTTCGGGTCCACAACCCTTCATCAAAACTGGGGCATGTTGGGAGGAAGAGGCTTTTAAGTGCTAAAAGAGAGGAGGGAGGCAGGGCAAAGGAGAAAATGGGGTAGAGGACAGGGCATGATGGGTTAAAGAGGTGTCAATGAAAAGGTGTGTCTGTGACCCAGACAATATGGTAATGGTCACAGGAGAGGGGGAGCTGTTATGGTCTGAAATTGTTGAAATCAATATTGAGGTCAGAGGGCTGTAAGGTCCCGAGCAGATAAATGAGTCTATTTGAATCAAGTCATTGTTGTTGATATGTGTGAAGTCAGAATTACCAAAGTCCAGGTCATCAGATTGCCAATGTCACCTCCTGTGTTATAGCAGCACCCTCAAAACAATAACCAGAATAGAAACCGCCATTGGAATAAATAAAATCGCAACAGGTGAAAATAATCCCCCCAAATTCTCGTTGTGGAACAGGAATGTTTATATGTGGTTTGCGCTGAGATTTTCAATAGACTGTACAGACTTTTCTCACCATAATTAAATATTTCCCAATGATCTTCAATGACATCAGTGCCCAATGCGACAACCATGGCAGTCATATTCACATTCTGTGCTCATACAGACCTAAACCCTGCAATCATAACACGCTGTTACACGTCTCACTACCACCCCCACAAAGTCCCACGCACCAGTTGCATACGTACCAGCTGAAAGGTACTATCTAATCACATGCAGTACCTTGTGCTGGGTGAATGAAGCTTTCAATCCTGACGCACGCCATCTGAGCACAAACTGAAACTCCAATCACACAGATGTCCGTATTCACAGAATCGGTTTAATTAAAATACATGAAGATTTAAGGATAAGGAAATGCGTGCCAACATTCCTGAAAAGGCTACTCTATGAAGTCCTCTGCAACTAAATGTAACTGCAGGTACGTAATTGCCATCCAGCTTTTAAAATCTAAATGATGTTTCAGTATTGTAACATTTTCAAGCAGTTCTGGCCTTTGAACAACTTGGAGAAATACTCAACAGATTTTTTTTACAAAAGCTGAAAGCTCCACACCATTTGGAAACGCAGTAGACGACATTATAGGGAAGATAGAGGCACTAGTTTTGGACCCAGTTCTATATTACATCTGCCTGAATTGCTCTAGATTAATTGAGGTGAGCTTTAAACCTTTCCATACAGGGACAACTGAGGAGCTTAATTTTGTTGATTGCTATTTTAATGCAAGAAGTTTTTTTAAAGAATGTAAACGTTGTAAAACTTGGCATGATGTAGTGATACTGTTCTTTGCACAATTTCATACAATTACTTCTGACTTGGGTTTTCAATGATAAATTTCAGATTGTGATAACTACACAGAATAAAAGCCTACCTACCCTCAATTCTGAACATTATCAAAAGGTCCATCAATAATAGGAGTGAAACAACCCAATCCATTTCACAGAACTTGCTGTCAATTAAATTACTCATGATGGGATCATGGAAGACATTTCTCTGGCATTAGCACTCTCAGAACCTAAATTAAGGCAACTAAACGAGACAGTCTTTCCACAGACATTTTGCA